GAATTCAGACATAGGTAAGCAGGTAGAAAAGAATACTGGGAAAAAGGAAGCCTTCCCAGGGCCTCTAAAAATTGTCAGCCACCTGTTCCATGAATGATGAGATCAGTCCTTCAACACTGGTCCAGACAAAGATGTCACTATCGTCGGTGAACAGAGACCAGGAAGGGAAGTGGAGGCCCCTTGGCCCTGGGCATTGTCATTGTCAAAGAGTCTTGGCATGAACTCAGGGAACACAATCTGTGACAGCCTGTGAAACATGCCCTCCCCAGGGGAGTCGGTGGACATTCTGTTCAAGTTAGGAATCAAGGATCTCATTTTTCACACTTCTCAGAGTGATGGTGTCCCCATAGGCCCTATTAAAGGGGATTTGACTAAGAGTCTTTCTTTCTATCCTGCTTCCTCCAGACATAAGACTGATATGATCTGTGTGTCTTGGTACCTCTGTGCTTCATTCTTCCAGACTATTTAATCCTGGGACACTTTTAACCAGTTCCTCCCAGAGGAGGCAGTACATAGTGTCTGCCACAGCATGCCCCTTCACTCAGGGAGGGGCCCCAGCACTACCTGCAGTTCCGGCATCTGGGCCACTGCCTCATCAGAAGGGCAGATGGCCTTGACCTGGGTACTGGGGTCCCAAGGAAATTACAAAGCAGTTAGTAGGTCATTTGAAGACAACTTTGGAGTGCTCTTTACTCCCTTCTCCTCTGTCAGCTTCATGTGACTCATAAGTGGGCATGGGAGTTAGACAGAAACCAAATGCCCACTCTATGTCTTGTAAAGCTGTACTGAGAAAGTGGTTTGACACTGAGGCTAAATGGGCTTCTTCCTCCTCACATTCTTCCAGGCCCTGAGCCCTGTGGGAGGAGGGGTTCCTTATACCACCCACCCTCCTTGGACCTCTGGATCCAGGAAGGATGGAAAAGAAGGGTGCACATGAGTGGCCCCAAGTAGGACTGTCTGGGAAACAAGGTTGGCAACACTCCCAGCAACTGGGGTAATGAAACATTTCCAAGGGGCACACAGTGCCCATTCCCATGTTAGCTATTTACTGAAAGTCCAGTCTCAGAGCACATGGCAAGACAGAGGCCACCCAGAATAGGACTGTGACCACATTCCTCTCATTCAGGGCAGGACAGCTTGTCAGAAGCTCACTTGGATCAGGGGTAAGAAGGAGGGTGAATGAAGATGGGAGTTGGGGAGAGTCATGAAGTGTTACTACCTTCAGTTATGCTCCCTCCTGGCCAGGGACTGAAGTCCCATTACTCCATTACCCAGAGGAGTACAGCCTCAACCCACCATGAAAACCCTATAAGACAACTCAGTAGTTAAAAAGGCTGGCAGCTGATGACTGCCTAATCTTTGAGGGATTGAACTGAGAACTGCCTGAGTCCTAGGTAGCTGTCAGAAGGTAAGGATTTTCAGCTTCCCTGAACTGGTGCTTAGTAAGAACTAGGACTTTGGTTATGAAGGGCTGCTGTTGTCTTCTTTCAATTGTCTGGAAGTCTGGCTAGATCATAAGTTTAGGCAAACACAGTTGAAAGTGATGGGCTGTTACTTTCTGATGGCTAAAGTCATTGTAAACCATTGCACATGCTCTTTGATCAAGAGATTGCATTTTATCTCATAGAATTTTTGACCAACTGTAATAATCTGTGATTGGAAAATTTGCCACTCTTGGTCAGGCAAAATATTTCCTTGAAGTACTTCATCCTCTGCCATCCCATCTATCCCTTAGTGGCCTCTTCCACTCAGCTTCCCCAGACTGACTGTGGAGGGAGACCCACCACAGGGTCAGTGGACCCACTTCTTGTCCACTACAAAGCCCTACTGTTACGGTGGCCTAGCTCTATCCACAGTGTGTCCTTATGGCTTTCAGACTCAGGCACATGGCTTGACTGTATCAAATTCACTCTGAAATAGCAGGAGATTGGCAGCTGAAATAAGATTGTTATGCAGAAACTTGGAAAAATTTCTGAAACTGTGGTCGAATTTATCCACGGTTTTTCTTTCTTATAGGAACAGATAAAGGGTATGACTGATATTATTGATCAAAGGTGCTGCACTTTCCCATAAAATAGCTGCTACTGGGGGAGATGAACATCCCTGAATTCCTCTCTTACAGACCCATTAGCTTAGAACCCTGGTTTGCTAGCTCTTTCTGCACATATCTCCATGTGTTAATTAGGGAAATCTTACCTTCTGTCTCAAATAAGGCAAAGGGACTTGTAATTGGACTAGATCAAGAGCCAACAAATTTGAGAAAGGAAAAATGAAAGATGAATGAAAAATGGTCTGAAGGTACTTTTCTTTACTAGAATAGTAACAGCCTATTTGAGCTGCAAACATTTAGCTCCAAGGATAAGAAGCTCTTTCTTATGGACCATTTGAACAATCAGAGATTCACACGTTGAGGCAAAGGGCTGATAGCAAAAATCCATGCTGGAATTAGGTTTGGAATTTAGAGCAGGTAACATCCTTGTGGATAGAGATGGCTCACTAGGTCACAGGCACTGTTCTGAGCACTTCACATATTTTAATACATCTTATGTTCACATTTACCCTGAGAGTAGGACTTATTATTCCTGCATTACTGGGAAGTAAAGTGACTTTCCCAGTCATACAACCAGCAAATGGCAACTTAGTATTTCAACCCAGTGTACATTAATTCATCTCAAACTCTAAAGGGCATATGATCCACCCAAGAAGTCTGGGTTTAGAAGCAGATGTTGATCCAGTAGCTCTAGTTTGGAACCCTAGTGATTCTGCATTTTTGACTGGTCCCCAGGTGACACTGAAGCTGCTCGTCTGTGGAGCACACTCAAAGTGCTAAGGCTCTGGATCATGATAGGCATACTTGACTGTCTGAAAGCTTAAGTGCCCTGGAGATTTCTTTCTAATTTATTTCTAATTTCTGTATTGCTGTCACTAAGACTCTTTGTAGTTAGCCTAGCCTAGACTAGACTCTATTACTTGAAGCTATGAAAACCCATTTAAGGTAACTCAGAAGAGAAGAGGCGATAGTTTAAGGCTATAATATAAAGCTCATGGAATGCAAGGATAGCAAATGCAATACATCAGCCCTCTTGGGACCCAAAGTGCCATCAACATCAAGTCTGCCAGCCTCTCACCTCTACTTTTCCCTTATAGACTCTGCCTTCTATGCTCTTCTGCTTGCCTATTTTCCAAACACAGCTTCCTGCCTCAAAGTTCACAGGTTCTTTCAGCCCCAGGGTTTATACAACCATATTTACCCTGTTTCTTAGTTTAAATTCTTGAGGGGGAAACTGATTTTTTGCTCTGGTAGTCAGCAATTATAGGACCTGTGGATGGGGCAAATTAAGTAAGGAAGATGGCGAACAAATTGTATCTAATATCACATACCAGACCAAATATCTACTGAATTCATCCCTAGACTTTCAGGTGGCCTACTTTGTGGGGCGATTAGAAAGAAAAAAATTATTTATTTACTGGGTACCTACCAGCTATGAGACAGTGTGCCCAATGATGGGGATATAGAGGTAGAAGATACTGCTTATGGTTTTAGGGAATTTAAGTTCAAATGGGAAAGGAGTTCTTCAGTAATGTCAGACTAACTTATAGCAAGCCAAAACCCTCCTTCTGAGAACAATTAGAAAAGCTGAAAACATCTGCATTTCAGCTTTCTTTTCTTTTTTTTTTTTTTTTTTTTAAGATTTTATTTACTTATCTTTAGAGGGGAAGGAGAGGGGGAGAGAAACATCAATGTATGGTTGCCTCTAGTGCTTGCCCTGCTGGGAACTGGCCTGCAGGGAACTGGCTTGCAACCCAGGTATGTACCCTGACTGGGAATCAAACCGCGATCCTCTGGTTCGTAGGCCTGCGCTCAATTCACTGAGCTACACCAGCGAGGGTTCAGCTTTCTTAATTACGTACTTATATTTCATAAATACATTTATATTACACAATTATATATGTGCATATATATTTCAGCTATCCTAATTATTCTCTGAAGGATAACATAGATAGATAGATAGATAGATAGATAGATAGATAGATAGATAGATAGATAGATAACGTAGGTAGATAGATAACGTAGGTAGATAGATAGATACATTCTTTTTATTAGAGTCCTAGATTCTCTTCTCTAGAGCTCTTCAATTTGGTAGGCACTGAATACATGTGGCTATTTAAATTTAAAATAATGAAATACAACTATAAATTCACTTTCTCAGTCCCATGTGGACTAGCCACAAAGCCACATGTGGCCAGTGACTGCTACTGTGTATACAGTGTAGACAAGACATTTCTCTCACCTCAGAAAGTCCTATAGGACAGTATTTTAATTCTCTGACATTTTACATTTTTTATATTAATTTTTAGATATTATGATAATGTTACCCCTGTGCATGAAGCCTTTGCATGGTTTCAGACTCTTTAGTATGATGTTCAAGGTTTAAAACAGTGTTACTCAGTTCTGTTTCCATGACTATTGAAAGCAGGCACAGTGAATTCAGTGATCAACCATTGACTGAAAGCCAACAAGACAACATAATCTCAGAATCAGATGCTTGCTGCTTTGTGTGACTGTCTTGCATGAAGAATGGTGCTCAGAGCACTAACCCTTAGTCATCAGGTGACCTCAGGCTTCTCTATCTTGGGATATCAAATTGTAAAAGAAATAATGTTTTGGTTCTTGGACTCCCCATTGGAGAATTCTTTATTTTGCAAGAATGTGGGGGCAGTTGGGACTTTATTTAAACTGTGTCTCAGATTTGCCATTTACTGGCTTTAAACAGAAATCTTAGTTCCCCTCCAGTGTGTCAGCTTTCTCAGTTGTTCCATGTCAGTCATTGCAGCTCCCCATTGCCTGTGAGTTTTGACAACTAAATGTGGTTTTTCAAAAGTGAAAATTATTTTATAAAAAGTGCCATATGTGCCATACAGCATTATTCTGGATTGCAATGTGGGCCTGGTCCATAGCTGCCTTGCTTTATGCTGTGCTGTTCCTTTTTGTCTTACAGTGATTTCCCTGAAATCTTCTGAAGATTCATCCTTTGAAAAAAAGAAAAAGACTTGGGCATTTTTTGAAGGTAAAGCTAGCATATTTTTATTATAAGATGTTATCTCACATGTATGTAATAGGAAAGGAATAAAATAATAGGAAAAGATCCCCACTTCTTAATTTTGCCAAGTTGTTCTCTAGCCCCAAACTTACTCAAGAGTAGGATGGGAATTTCTGGTGGTTTCAGCCAAAAGGTTTTTAAAAGGTGGAGGTTAAAGCCCCAAACTGCATAATTTGGGGTTGCTTTATTTTGCTTCAGAATTCCTACTTTCAGGTGATATTAGGATGGGGTCTTCACCTTATATAAAAATAGAAAGTATATGCACTGTGAACTAATTTTATCACAGATTCTTAAGGAGTTTGGGATTCTGGAAACTGTTTGAAAACCTTAAGCAAGGGATTTTTGACCCATTTTTAGAATCACCAGGAGATCTTTGAAAACATTGCTGCCTATTTTGGAGGTTCTGGTGGTGGTAGAGCTTGTTGAAAACTCCTCAGGTGATTCCAGCGCAGTCAGGCCTCAGAACAATCATTCTAGGCTGGTCTCAGACCAGCAGAATAAGCATCAGAATCACCTGGGAACCTGTTACAGATGTACTAATAGGGCACTACCCTCACCAAATCAGAAACTCTGACGTGGTGTCCAGCCATGGGTTGGCAGGGTGCTGATGTAAGCTCCCACTTGAGCCTTGGCAATGATTCTCAACAGGAGGCAGTTTTGCCTCTCCAGGGGACATTGGTCAACACATGAACATATTTCTGATTGTCACAGCTAGCATTTTGGTGCTATTGGCATCTAGTGGGTAGGTGCACAGCCTACAGTACACAGGGCACATTCCCACAACAGAGTGATATGGCCCCTAATGCCAGGCATGCCAAGCTTGAGAACCTTGGCCTTCAAGTAAGGAAAACCACAAAAATATCACAAAGTGGTTGAGGACTATGACCACAAACAAGGAAAGAATGAGCTTTGTAAATTCTCAGGCAGAGTCTTTGATTAGTACAAAACTAATTAATGTTAAGAGGTTATCAGGAAATTGAGAGGGATTATATCTAGTGAAGGCAGGGCATTTATTGATGAGCATGACCTTGTCAAAACAATTTTAGGAGACTTGTGTGCCTTGGGGCTTCACCATCCTCTTTTATTAACTCAATAGGTGGGGTGGAAGCAAAGCTTGCCCTAGGCAAGAACACTTGGAGTTAAACCCACCAGCCCAAAATCTAGATAGAAGCAGTGCGTTGAGGCGTTTTTTCTTAGAAAAATGTCACCATAATTATGAACTTAGTTTGCCAACTCTAAGGTGTCACCCAGGTGGGCCATTAGGATTTATTTTTTCATGTTGAAGTCATAAATACACATCGTGTTCCTCAGATTGCACTTTACTCTCACAGTGATCTTTGTGTTCCCTGCTTTTCATGTGCATATATTGTAGCTGCCTCTTTCTTTATGTGATGACCTTCTAGAAAAATAATCCCAAATTTCTTCTCTTAGTCCTTCATTCAGTGAATGTCTGTTCATTAGCAAAAACACAAAAGTGACTTGACTCTTCATGATACAGGGTACAGCCGGGGGGGGGGGCAAAAAAGATTTGGAATGGTGTCCAGAATTCAAATTGTATAGGAATATTGGAGAGACATATAAGATGTCCTCACCCCTTTCCCCACAGGTGTGAGTTGGGGGAAGGAACACATGGAGCAGGAATATGCAGGGCTGTTTTGTACAGCCACAGCCTTGCAGCTAATCCATGGCATGGTCATTTAACATATCTATAGCCTTTGGTGGGTCACTTGGATATGTTTTTTTTATTTTTTAAATTTTTTTCTTATTTATTTATTTATTTATTTTTAATTTTATTTAGTTATTTTTCAAGTACAGTTTTTTTGTCTATTTTTCCCATCCCAGCCTCCCCCGCCCCTTGCTCCCCACCTCCCTCCCATTTCCACCCCCCTTAGTTCTCGTCCCTGTGTCCTTCCTATTTGTTCCTCCAAATCCCTCCCCCATTTTCCCCTTAACTTCCCTTCCTTCTCCCCTCTGGTCACTATCCCCTTGTTCTCTATTTCAGTGTCTTTGTTTTATTTTATTTTATTTTTTATTTTTATTTTTTGGATATGTTAAATGGCTGTGGCCAGGCTTGGAGCTAGGGGGATGAAGTTGCTTCCCCCAAGATGTAACTGGGGGTAGGTCCCCCAAGTTATAGCACCTGTGTGGGAACTTGGAGAAGATTGGCTCCAGGACATGGTGCCATATCTGCCCAGACTAACGATGGCAGCCCAGTAAATTTGTAATAATACAGAAATACTGGCAGGTGTAACTGATCATGGGAGGAGTCAGAAATAGGGGTACAGAGGAAGATTGGCAGGAGGATTTAAAACCCAGAAACAGCAGCCATTGAGGAGAGAGCCATGTGGTTTCCGCAAAGTAAGGGTCCCCTCTTAGCCAGGTGAAGGGAGAGCCATGCGGTTTTGGGCAGAGTGAGGACCCCCTCTTGGTGAGGTGAAAGAGGGAGCCACGTGGTTTTGGCAGAGTGCAGACCCCCTCTTTCCCAGGTGAAAGGGAAAACCACACAGCTTTGCCAGAATGGAGATCCCTGCAGCCAAGTGAAGAAGAAAGCCACATGCTTTTGGTGGAGTGAGAACCCCTGCAGCTTTGGTAGAAGAGGCCCATGTGGCTTTGGGGTGCCCCCTTTGGCTGCGTGGCCTGGAAAGCAAGAGAGACTTTGACTGGAACTGGGTACAAAGAACTCTTGCCAGTGGACCGTGAGAGAGTGCCACATAACTTTGGATTAACTCGAGATCCTGCACAGTGACACAGCCTACAGTGCCAGTGGCCTGAAACACAGACGTGTGCTCTTTTCCTGATTTACGGTACCCGGAGTTGGGACAGTGGGAGAAGGGAGAGCTGTGTGTGTGTTTAGGTGTACACCCTAAAAGACTTTGATATTTTAGTGGAGGCATTAGGCCTAAATAACATTAAATAAACATTTCATTTCCTTTTCACAAATCTCTGGCATTGAGAGATGTCTTTCCAATTGGTGGCGGACAAAAGAACACAGCAGATATTAGTACTCTGTCCTTGGGAGGGGCCCCTGTTGTTCTGTAGCAGTTTTTGGTGTGCCTAGGTGGGCCAAATATTGCCCCCCCCGGACTTCTTGTTGGGTAACACTCACAGGGTGAAACAGTAGAAAAAGTGATAGATTTAGCCTGTGTTTCTGTGAGCCAGGCACTATGATAGAGGGCAGTCTTGTGGGGCCCTATGGCAGGTTGCTGGCAGCTGTGATGGGAGAGCCCTCTTTATCATCAGATGCATAACAATCTCTGCAAGTTTGTTAGTAGTAACCCAGACTCTGTGCTCCCTTTTGAAAGTCAGATTATTACATTTAGGAAGAAATCCAATAATTTGCACTTAGGGCTAGAGGTGTTTTCAAAGACCAACACTATATATTTGGAAAGACTGTGGCATGTGACAGACCTAGGTAGATGTAGGAAGAATGGAAAATCACCAGGTGAGAAAACTACACTGTGGGAAACTGTAGCCTGGGAAATGCCTTCTGGAAAACTGCCTACTGACCCTACCCAGGACAAACAGATGCCCAGCTAAGATTGGGGTCTTGGGTTGGCCTATCTGGCATAACAGGATGCAGCTTTAACCTGAGGTCTTACAAGATGTATCAAGAAAAATGGTCAGCAGAAATGGCACTCAGCAACCAGCTCTAGCCAATCAGACTCTGACACCCTGACCAGTTACCCTTCATGGGTTTTTGCACTTAAAAACCCTGCCCTAAGAACAATCAAATGAGTCTTAACCTCTCTAGATTGACTCCCCACTAATAAACCCTGCTCCTTGGCTCTCTGCATCCATCTGGTTTCTTGAGCAATTCCAATCTAACAAGATATAGTCCCCATACACCTTGCAGCATAATCAACATCTCTAAGACACTTTGTTTAATTAATAATATTTTATAATTCACATGTGGCTATGGAACATCAGGGTTATTCTCTATTTAACTCTATACAATGTCTGTAGCTCAATGTGCCCTCTCATCTCAACACAGAAAACTAGGTCTCTCTGAAAAGCAGAATCTGCATTCTTACTCTGCATGTCTCAGAGCAGTTGTTTCCATGGTTCTTTTTCCCAGTGATTTTGGCATCAGTTTCTCTTGGGTTTTGCTTTTTGAATCCAGACACAGTGTTGGCGAGGTCAGGGGGACAGTTGAAATTCCCTGGCACCTGCTCCCAGGCCTTTGCCCCTTTGTTCCTGGATGGGAGAACTGCAGTAGGGCTTGCTGGTGGATATTCATCCATCCTCCTGGGTTTAGTTGGGCCTGGCTGTGCACAGCAGCACAAAGAAAGGCATTGTCAGGCCTCTCAGGAGATGCTGGAAGGAGTTAAAATTGCTCTGGGCTGTTGCTCAGGTATTTTGCCTCAAGCAAGATGATATTGTAGGCTGGGTAAGAAATAGCAGAAGTACACAGTTTTCTCTACAGAGCTGTGATCTTCTAGGCACTGGCCTTTGCTCTGGAAATGTAGAGGACTGACATTAACTTTCTAAATTCAATGGTTTGGGAGCATTGTGTTTCTCCATTCTACTGGGGTCACCAGATTTCAGAGCAACTCTGAATACCCCTGCAGGCCTTAGGGTGGCCCAGAAACAGGTGCTGTCTGCCTTTTTTGTGGGCTACTCTTCCTGGGCTGTTGTGGCTTGGCTTTGTGAAAAGGCAGGAGCTGGCATGCAGACACTGTACACTCCATCTCAGCCTCCCAGCCTTGTGATCATCACTCCAGCCCACCAGCCTCACCATCTGCTTCAGGGATGCCTGTGCTGGTGGCTGTGGGAGACATTTTCTGTGTGACAGCTTGCAATTGAGGCTAAAAATGACATGGGTGCCTTTGGAAGTGCAATGGCAAAAGACAAAAGTGCAAATGAATTCAGGGAATATAATACAATTTTTAGAATTATTTCAGTGTGCAGGTAGATGTGGTATTTTAAAGGGGAATCCCAGATATAATTTTGTGCAGACATTTTGTTAA